ACGAGCGAGCTTGTTGCCCATGATCTTGCCCCAGGGCGTCTTCTTGAACCGCCTGTTGGCTCCCTTCCAGATGTCGGCGTGCAGCTGATCGCGGGGCACGAGCTTAACGCGCAGGATGTGGCCGAACAGGAGGTAAGAGTTCATGGTGCGGGCCGCAATGTCGGCATCGCTCTCAGACTTGAACTCGATGAAGGCGTAGTGCTTAGATTTTCCAGTGTGCTTGTTCCTTGACAGGCGCAGTTTGGTAACCTGCAAGTGAGGATTAGTTGTCTGCAGAAGCGGGGAGCGGTGAGGTGAGATGAACGTACGGGTCCAAACTGGTTGAAGTACGAACGCAGCTCATGCTCGTAGAAACTGCACAAAGTGTTAGCAATTATTAATTTTGGTGAACGCGGTGGTAGATCATACCCGTGAGGCAGGCGTCCAACGTAGATGACACCAGGCTCGTCCTTGGCGGCATTCTTGCTCGCGGCCAATGCCTTCTTCTCCTTCTTGGACAGCTTGGGTATCTTGCCGACATCCTGACCAGTCTTGAAATCAGATCCCTTGTCGGTCTGGCCAGTCTCCTCAGAATCAGAATCTAGACCCGCGGCCAGGGCCTGGAGCTCAGCGTCGACCTCGCCATCGTCCTCCGACGCATCATCCTCAAAGGGAATGACCGTCTCCTCCGCCGACTCGACAACGATCTCCTCGGGCTCTTCCTTGGGCTCTGCGATCTTGACCTTCTTGGCGACCTTCTTCTTCTCCTTGACGGCGGGGGCGGACTCGGCTGCGGCCTCGGTTTCGACGTCGACCTTGACCTCAGTTTCGGTCTGCTTCTTCGGCTTGGCCGCGGCCTTGACGGGCTTCTGCTTCTTGGGGGCGACAGGCGAAGTCTCCTCGACGGCTAGAGCGACACATGGTTAATTGATTGTCGGGGAAAGCGGTGGTGGGTTTGTGCGAGACGGACCCTTGCGCTTCGTCACCTTCTCGACCTTCTTCACAACAGGCTCCGCGACGTTCGTCTTGGCTGAGGCATAATTAGCTGTTTTGACCCATATGACGGTCTATCAGTGGAATGCGACGCGTACACTTTCGCTTTCTAAGTTCGGGAGCCATTTTGGACGTGGCGTGGGGTTGTCGTGGGTTCTATCACTTCAATGTACTGAAGATACCGTCGACCTCTGCACTTGCGGCGTGGCTGGCGAACAATAACCAAAGAAAAATTTCCAGGTTCTGCCATCCATGTGCAGCTAACCTGACCCTTTGTGGGAAGCGGTGTGGCAAGACCCCTCTAGTCCCTCCTTCCAGCGGCGTTCTTCAGTGGGGAGCACCTCGATGGGCAGGAAGCACTGACCTCTCCTGCCACTGCCACCCGCGATTACCTTATACAGGAACCACCACAGAAGTACTGAACCACCCTGAGCCGCCCTGAATCTCTCGTCTCAGTCTGTTCACGAAGAGCTGCCACCATCCTCTGCCTTCCTATTGACCTTCATGGGCGTCATTGCAGCAAAGATAACAAACACATCAACAATCCCTTGGTGATTCAGTCATTTAGATCATTTTTTGCGGTTCGACAGACGGACTACCTTTCTCACCGGTCAAAGCCGTAACCGCGGTGACTGTCTGCCCACTCTCCGCCCAAGGCACACACAGCCGTCAGTGCATTTACATGAAGGCTTTGGCCTCATTCATTCAGCCCCCGCACCGCCCGACTTTTGTAGAACTAAGCTTGCAACTCTGATCCACCAGAGAATTTCAAGGATTCGACGCCTACCTCAGCCAGCACACCAAGCCACATCGATCTGGTCAATGTGATTGACCGCCGACCACCTAACTTCTCAACAACTGACTCGGTTCGGCCTCAGACCTTACCCGCGATGACAGTCTCAGAAGACCAGTTGACCCACGAGGAGGTGTGGGATGATTCGGCCCTCATCGACTCCTGGAATGAAGCTTTGGACGAATATAAGGCACGTCAGAACCGCACTTTGGTCCACTCGACCAACAGGAGCGATCTCCCCCTACTTCGACTTTGATGGCGACTGACTGCTCCGTGAAGAAATATCATAGCATTCACGCCAAGGGAGGCAAACTCGCAGACCTTGAGCCCGCGCGCGTCCACTACCTCGAAGTAGGTCACAGTTCCCCTGTCACGGGCCCCCTTCTCCATCAACAGTCAACTCTAATGGTGATCATGGCAGGATCCTCAAGACTTTGCAATCAGAAACACGGGAAGGTGATCAGCCAGCTGAGGCAGATCTGCCACCCGGTGGTCTGGAAGAAACCCATAAAGTCAGTCAAGTCCTGACACTGTTGTTCTGCAATCCTGCGGGCATTCTGATAAGGCCACCGAGGGTTGGCCTGGCGCTCCTCCATGTGGTTCAAAAGTCTTCGCACTTTTTGCTGACGCGCGTGGTCGCTGCAGGTCACTCTTGGAGCCGCGCCCCCAACAGCAAGCGTGTCGGAGTCGAGAGATACTGCAGGGGATGCGACAGCGATGGCACCCCCACAGTTGCTACTCAGTACAGGTAGGTTCTGACACTCTGTTGCTTGCCGAGCTTCGCCATTGGGCTGCTGACGACAAGGATAGTGCAAGATGAGGGCCTCAAGAAACTACTTATGTCGTGGTACTACGCGGGGTACTACACAGGGCTGTACGAGGGGCAGCAGCAGCAGCCTACACAGCCGAGCGCACCGTGAAAGGCGCCAACGGTACCGATGGGCAAACCCCTAGGCCAAGCTTCGGACGAAATCTTGATGTCGCTGTGGGGAATCAGACCAGATTCGCCGGACGGGACATCAACTCTATCTGATCAACGGGCTGCAAGCGAAGTTCTGCGACACGATCTGTTCCATGACGCACCGGCACTCAAGCTAGCCACGTTTGAGGCTCGACAAGGCATGTGTCGAGGCTGGGCGCCCACTCAGGGCTACTGCAGCTTTGCCAAGGAGGAACGGCCTGGAATCCATGGGGGCAATTGGAGCGATGGATATCTAGCACTGCACCATCACACCCTCGTCTGGATCCGCCCATCCAGCGACGCAATATCAGATTGTGACGAGTGTTGCCCCTTTTTATCGTCCGTCCGCAAATCGCTGCCAGAGCTGTTTCGTTTCGCCTGCCACGGTTGGGTAAACTCACAGCTGTTCAGACCTCATCTCAAGTATGGCAGCTTCGGGCCTTCCGACCGCAAGGCTGATCAATGGGAGCCTTCAGATATTTCATCTTGACAACATTAACACGATTGGAGAAACACTGAAGCAGAGTGCACCTGATGTCGCGACACTGACAGACGTCACAGATAATACTGACCGGCCTTCCAACGATTGAGGTACCGTGACAGGCCCGTTTGAGCACGTGCTGACGAACATGCAATGATCAATGGCGATACATCAGACTTGAGGTTTCGGTAATCGGCTTGCCGCATCACAGCACAACGGCACTGCGGCAATGAACGGAACGGCAGCGAGAGCTTCGATTGCGCGGCTCGCTGTATCGTTGCGCAGGATTTAATTTCAAAAACTCCGTAGGCCTCCGGCTTCCCGCGTGCCTTTGAGCAGTCAGAAAATCACGGCCCGAAGAGTCCACTGGTCCTCGTCATCTCAAGAAGCAGGGCACCCTTAGCAATAGCGGCCATCGTGGTATCAGACTAGACGAGAAACCCCTCTCTGACAGCAAACCAAGAGATGGGCAGAGTTCGTGCGACGACATGGGTTATGGCGTTGCGACCATGACGACGCGCCTTGAGCGTAGCCAAGAAGGATGTTTCAGAGCCTCCATGCCGCCGTTTGGAGTTGTGGGCACGTCCAAGCAGCTGGCGAATGATGGCGTTAAGGGGGTCGGTTTTCCCTCCAGGCGAGCGACAGGCGGATGCGACTCAGCAACCCGCCAAGGTGCGTGAGCTGTCGTCTCTAACTCGTCGTGGCTGGTCTGGAAGGCGGGTCGTGTGCCACTGGCCAACGTACCCCAGTTCTTAGCTTCCGGCAGCTAAAATCCCCCTTTCGCTCTTTTCGCCCGCTGCATATGTTCCAAGGGGTCCAACCACCACCAGCTGAGCCAGTCCGGTGCCTGAGTTTAAGGTTTAGCGTGAGCGCTGCTCCAAATTCAATGGTCGAGTTGCGCTGACCCAAGTTACAACGGGATCGCGCGAAAGACTTTTGCTGTGCAGGTATCACAAGCTTGCGAGGCGACGACAAACAGCATCGCCATTTTTTTTTTTGAAGCCTGCAAAGTTACCAAGGAGCCATGCGCATGACAGCAGCAGGATCAGCAGGCGCCTGTCAGTATCATTGGTGACAACGGCCCTCAGCGTCTTGCGGAAGATGGGCCGCTCGGGCCAGGCAAGGGGCCCAGCAACGCCCAAACGCGACTCGAGACGAATCTGTCACACCAACCCCCTTGTCGAGCTTGCCCACGCAACCCACCTTGGATGCTTCGACGACGATACCAAACCCCCTGTACCGTCTGTATCCATGTCCTTTTCCTCTGGTCTTGGCCTCCGTCTTGGGATGGCAATGCAACCACCGCTGTTCATCCATCGGACGCAGGCGACCCGAGCGGCTTCAGCCAGGGACATGCTCTCGTCTTGTTTCGAGAGCAAGCCATCGCAGCCTCTTGGCCCGCTGCGCCCCTGACGTGCCATGCCTTTCGTCTCTGCTCCGAGCGCGTCTTGGGAGCTTCATGCGACCTTGATTTAAGCACTGATGTTGCCCTTCCGTCTCGAAATAGTTTCTGCTTTTGCCCTCCATCTCTTCCTCTCTCTCTTCAGTCAACTCGTGTGCTCGCTCATTGCCGTGTGGACTTTCATTCCCTTCCGGTTTTTTTCATTCACTTCACTTCACGAGCAGGAACTCGCCGGATCCATCCAGCATATTTCACACCTTTGCACCCCGTTCGACACGGCCTCCTGAGGAAAAAAATACGTCTTTACCAGCCAGTCTGTGATCCACAACAGTCAAACGTCTTCCGTCAATTCGTCTTAGTAATACGTACTCCAACAAACTAAATCGACAAGATGAAGTTCTCCGCAGCGCTCTCCATCTCGGCCGTCGCCGCCCTGGCCTCCGCTACGAACCACGAGGAATCGCCGGCCAAGGCCTTGATGCCTCTGCCTGCCGGCATGAAGGGCCACGGCATCACTGAGGGTTCGGACACCAACGTGATTGTCATTTGGGTCAACCCTGGTAACGGCGCCGAGACCACCACTGTCAACCAGCAGGTCACCGTTACCGAGACTGTCGTCGTCGGGGCCCAGACCCCTCCTGCCGTCCACCCGCCTCCTGCAGCGCCTCCGGTCCACCCGCCCCCGGCCGCTGCTCCTCCGGCCGAGGCCATGCCACCTGCGCACCCTCCTCCCGCTGCTGCTCCTCCCGTCCACCCTCCTGCTGAGGCTGCCCCCCCGACTCCTGCGGCACCCCTGGGCGCCGAAAACGCCCGCCGCCCCTGCCGCAGGTGCCACCCACAAGCGTCACGGGTCGGCGGGCCCCGGTGGTCTTATCTACGCTCCTGACCAAAATTCACGCTGCTGTCGGGCGACATGGTCATCTTCAACTTTCCTGAGCGCCAACCACACCACCACTCAGTCCAGCTTTGACCTGCCTTTGTGACCCCCTGGCCGGTGGCATGGACTCTGGCTTTCATTCCCAACCCTAACAACACTGTCGAGCCCCCTTCCTCAGGTTGCCATGCAGGTTATGGTCTCTGACCCTCTTTGTAAGTTGCCTGCCTGCCAGATGTCAAGGTTTCGCGAGCTAACGATGCCAGGGTTCTACTGTGCCCAGGGCCCTCACTGCGGCAAGGGTATGGTCTTCTCCATTAACCCTACTGCTGAGCGTACCCATGCCATGTTCCAGTCGATGGCCATTCAGCAGAAGGGTGACGGTGCTGCCAGCCCCATTACCGGCGGCTCGCCTGCCCCCCCTGCTGCCCCGCCTGCCGCCCCTCCCGCTGCTCCTCCCGCCGGCACTGAGCTCGCTCCTCTTCCCGGCGCTACCGATGCTCCCGTCGCGTCTCCCCCGGCTCCCGGCGGTGGCAACGGTGTGCAGAACGGTGTCGGCCAGATCGACCAGAACGGCGCCTGCGTGTGCACCGTCCAGTGCGACATGGGCTCGTTCCCCAACCTGGACATGCAGGGCGTCGGTGCGGTCGGTGGCATGGGCGGCTCGATCCCCATCGGCCAGCCCGTCCGCAAGAGGTGGTAAGCGAATCGTGGATGTAAGCTTGAGCCTCACGTTGCTCGCTTACGGGGAGAGATATACCAAACATTTTCTTTTTATCACACATTTATTTGTCCGGAGTTGAAGACGAGATGAAAGGAAGATATGATTGGCAACGCTGTTGTAGACACCCGCTTGAGGCAACTGGGACTGGCTGGCCTAGAGCTCCATGGGGCCCTTGGAGACAGGGGTTGTACACACACTTTGAAGTATGACTGGTTCGTATCTTTCTGGATATGTCCAAATTAATAGGATTTGATCATGACTGTAACTGCTTGCGCGTGACGTGATTGCATGTGAGCGTGTCTGCGAGATCGATGTTGGGGGCGCTTGCTGGGCACACCTCGAAAGCCATCTGCAAGACGTTGTGAGAGGTTTAGGAGTGGTCTATGGGCGTTGACGCCGACTCTGAAGAAACAGGAAAATGCGATGTCAGCGAACAAACGAGGGAGGAAATTGAGGAGGCAGAGGGAGTCTTGGTGGTCAGCATTTCATTTCGTCACAACGAGTGTGACTGCTATTTGGCCTGGGGGCTGCATCCGTCCTCCTCATGCGGCAACCGCATCCCATCAACCCGCGCCCGCCACCCTGGCCCTACCTCTCTGTCTCGCTTCGTCGCGCCTCTATCCTGCTCAGGCCATTTATTTCTTGCCCTTGTCCTTGGCAGGCTTGTCCTCGCCAGTGGCCTTGCGTGCCTCGGCTAAGCAGAGCGGAGCGTCAGTGAGGTCCTACCTGTTATTTGGAAAAGAAAATATGGAGGCTTTCGGGGCGAAGCGCGTGCGCAGGCAGGCAGGAAAGATACAAGATGACATACCGGCAGCCTGCTTCTGGCGCATAATCTCAGCTGCGCTCTCACGGGAGCGCTGGAGCTCGGTGCCGCTTTGGCTGTTGCCGGATTTCTGCATGCACGTCAGCTGAACGGCCCGTCTCTTCTACTCAAGACTCTGTCTCTCTCTCTCGACGACGATGATGACGATGATGATGATGAGTATGGATCGGTGGGCGAGGGTCTTTGCTGTGGAGCATCGTTGTCGTCGTCGAGCAGGCGTGGCACGTCTCATCACTTGGACTCGTTCATTCATTTCCCGCTCCTCTCCTGACGTCGAATGAGGGGAGACCAGGTCCGAACATGTTGGGAGATGAAGGGGCAGATTCGGGGCAAGGAGGTGCTCTCTCACCATGGCAGCCTGCTTCTTCAGGTTCGCCTCACGGGCCTTGTCGCGCTGGTTACCACGGGCCATTGCTTTCTTAGTGATGTTTCGCTGAGCCTATCTTTCTTCTTTTTCTTCTTCTTCTTCTCTCTGTTTGTCTTGGGCACGTTGGGTACGGGACTTTCCCCGAGTATTCGCCTGGTGAGTGAGATGTGTTATCTGGCTGGCTCTTCAGGGGTTGGTGGTAATGGTGGGAAGCCGAAGGAAAGGTGGGTGAGCGCGAGGGTGACGGAGTGAGGTGAGAAAAAAAGATGAAGCAGGCAGGCGGTGAGGCTGCGTCCTTTGTGCCCAGGCTTTGGCGTTATTCGCCTTTTAGGGGGGGACAGAGAGGACAGGGAGGGGGTCCAGACCTGCAACGGTATTTCCGGAGTACCTGATTGGTGGATATCCTTTCTCGACCAATCAGAGGCCTGAAAAATCACGATTGGCTCTGTCCATGTGGGCGCGCGACAGTCGTGCAGATATCGATGGCCATTCCGACCAAGAACCAGCATGGCCTGTCATCGGCGGCACTTCTTGTCCGACACGCTCACCACGGTCGCCGGAAGCCAGGACGGCGGGAAACGCACTTGACACGTCACAGGCGGTTCAGAACACTGGCAAACTGATTGATCTGCCTATTACAGCCAGGAGCAAAGCGCAATATGAAATCCCTCCAAGACCAGTGTGCTCTGCTCAAACACCACAAGTCGATGGATGCTGCTATATGGCTTTTGAGCGCGAGACGTCCGGAGACATGTGGTTGCCCTCAGCCTCCTGGTGAGAAAGAAAACAACGCCACCAATTTTGTCCCTACGAGGGAGAAACCCTCTGATACAGGCAAGGAGGAAAGAGTAAGAAAAAGCTGAAAGAACACGTCCACCCCATCTTGCTATTTCTGCCACAAGCGGCTTGACCGTAGAGCCCCGTTTCCCAGTCCAGAATCCATCGTTCCCGCCGCTTTCCTGCCTGCATTGTAGGTTCTCCCAGTCAAAGTCATGGAAGAGTATTCAAAATGAACCAAGGTCCAATGAAAGTCGGAATCCTGTGTTCGAGAAACGGACCAGGCAGCGAAGCGCAGGCTGTGTATGCAGAGCCAAGTGCTTGTAGGAAGAAGAAAATGGGGCTTCAATGCATGTAGAGCCCGCTGACTGAGCCGCAGGATGTATCGAATCAACGCACATCTCGGCTTGGGTCCTCCGACGTCTTGCCCAGAAAAGAAAAAGAGGGCTCCGCCTGACAGAATCCAGAAACAAGACGCAGCATTTGTGTCTATCCAGGTCCTTTGATCGCCAAGAATGAGCAGGCGGTCCTCAGTTGCTGACGGCAGGATCGAAAGGGTGGCAAAATCCAGTGTAAAATGTAACGATGCAGAAAGTGACAAAGGGAGAAAGAAGCTGAAGAAAAAAAACAAGAAAAACATCCGAACGAAGAAGAAGAGGCAGAAATCAAAACGTTCGTTTCATCTATGTCCATGAACCGAGGGTTATGTTCCCCCCCCCCCCCAAGTACACGCCAACCAGATCAGAAAACCCACTTTGCCTGTGGAGGGGAATCCCCGACGGTGGCTGTCCTGTTGCAATGCTCACACCTCCCCAGCGAATGCCCGTCTCCATCGTTGGCCCATCCATGCGATCCGCGGTCGTGTTGTACAACGATAAGCAGCGTCAGTTCCGCAAGAAGGAAGAAAGAAAGACGTGCTCCGAATTTGAGGAGGGGGTGGAGGTAGTATACGCGGATGAGGCCAGACAGAGAGACCCAGGCCAGGGAAATCGTCGTTTGTGTAGTGCACAGAGAGTAAAAGGAAAGACCGGTCGTCAAGTCGTGGCAGCGTCACCATGCTGAAATGAAGAGGAGGGCAAAAGGGCTGATGAGAGCCATGTAGCCACCCCTCGTAACGTAACGTAATCCGTCGTGTCAAAGCCGTTTTTCCTGCATATCGTACCACTTCCCAGAGGCATGTTCCTCAGGTGCTGCATGGTCGCAGGCACCCTACAGCCACTGGGAGTCATCGCCGGTGTGAGCAGCGTGCGATGCCGTGGGGCTGGCTCTGCTGGTTCTGC